ACCAATTAAAGAAGTGGATATGATTAAAATAAAAAAATCACTTGAGAATATATATATTAAATTAGTAGATGAAATAGTTATTAAATTTAAGCTTTAAATGTGATATAATAGAAAAAGAATAATATTTTTTTAAGTGTCCCGCGTGTTTTTAAATTGTGAGTATAATTTATGTCATAATGTTTTGTAATATTATTTTTGTAGTTATAATTCATGTAATTAAAATAATTACAAAACAATTATATTCTAAGATATTTACTAAATACGTTTCTTTATTTATATAAACAGAAAATAAGTCCTATAATACATAAACATATACAATAATATAGTTTATTTAGTAAATATTATTAAGTTAACAAATTTAAAATAAAGTAGCAACTAACATTTTAAATACCTATTAATTATATGCCGATATAAAACAGACAATTATTATAGTATTATTAAGTTAAGGCGAGGAAGAAGAAGAATTATTATATTATTATAAAATAAATATTTATAAATAGAAAATAGAAAAGAATCAATACAGACTGCACGTGGCATAGTTAGAACAAGTACAGATAATATCTCACAGCGATTAATGTTACTATCTTAAAAAACGTTTCGATGCGAATCTGTAAAATTTCACAATAGTTTGTATATTTGTAATTTAGTCATTTGTTATGTTTCAAAATCTCACTCAAATTATAAAATAATTTTTACTTTCACTTTGACGGCAATTTTATTATTGTAGAACAATCGTCGGATATATATATTTTAATATGGTTGTTTACATCAAAAATTGAATATAGGTTAAAAGTTATGTCATATATTTAGGACTATTTTTAAAAATTGAATTGAACATTATTTTTCTAAGTTTCTAAAATTAAGGGTTTTTTCAACTTTCGGCGATTATAGAACCTATCAGTTGAACCAGCTAGATTAAAATCGAATACATTTGGTGCATAGATCAACAAGATCTCCATTTTTCACAAAATGAACGAAACAAGCAGTCGCACAAAAATGTGATCTGTACTGTACAATTAGCTTGCTGGCGTATGTATTGAAAATACTGACAGTAATTATGACAAGAAGAATGGAAAATAAGCCATATTGTAAAAAGGTCAGTTTGGGTTAAAAAGAACATGGTTACAAGGGAGGCAATAGTGGTGCTAGTAACACTTATTGAGAAAGAAAGCCTACATATACAGTTTTTGTTGATATAAAAAAAATGTTTGACAATATCAACAGGCTCAGTAATGTTCAGATGCTAAATAGAACAGATATAGAATACACTGAAAGAAGATTACTGTTTAAACAAAATCTGATGAAAACAGCTGTTATAATATAAGCAAATATGATGAGGGATCATGCATAATAAAATAAGTAAGGCAGTGATGTATTCTCTCTTCTAGCATATGCAATGCATATGTCCAAAACATAATTAGAGAGAAAATATATTTGGGTATAAAGCTGAATGGTAAAAAAATTGGTATGCTACGATTCACAGATGATATAGCAGAAATAGTTGCAAACGAAGAAGAATTGCAATGGTTGCTGAGATGTATAGACAAAACTTACCATTGGGTTTTGGAATGAACATTGGAATAACTTTTTATTATTCTCTCATACTTGAAAGTAACGAGTCTCGGAAAATTTATGGAGCTCTAAGCCAGCAATCCTATTTTACATTTACGCATTCAACTTAATTTTTACTAAATTATTTACGATGTATTTAAAAAAACATTTAATAGTTTTGATATCATTTTTTTTTTTATATTTAACGTTTTTTTTTTAAAGCTATTGCCTTTTTCAGAAAAACGAGAAAACTTATATATCCTAATATAACTAATTCGAACACCGGTACTCACGCATCGAGGGACGATGCCTTATTGATTGAGCTAAGTAGTTTTTATATCATAAAAACTTAAGAGTATAATATTCAATTTGTGTCTACTCTATCCCAACTACTTGGAATGGGCCACCCTTAATCTGAATCCGTATGCAACTTAAAAATAAACGTTCAAATATAATTTGCAGCTACTATGATACACTACAAAAGTATAAAGAAAAGAAAAGAAAAATAAATGGATTCGACATGTATTGAAACATGATTGGTTACTGGGATTAATTATAGAAAGCTGCATAGAAGAAAAAAATGTAAGGGGAAGACCACGACGAATAGAGTGTATGCAACAAATAATGACAAACCAATGGTGTAATTATTCCGAATAAACAGAACCAAGTAACAGGAAAGAGTGGAGAATTGCTATAGACTAACATCAATATTGATTACAAAATAAAAATTGTGAAAAAATATGTTACTGTTCCAGTTGTTTATCATTTTTTTTAAACACTTTAACACGGTCCCTCGTCGCTTCGTGTTGCACGGAGCCCCGCGACCCGCGCCACCTTTGTTGCCGTCGCCCTACTGCGTGTACATGGCAGTTGGACTGACACCTCGTGCCATACGCCACGGCGCCAAGTTCAGCAAGTGCCACACGGCCAACGACGACCCGCCGCAAAAAGTCGCCTTCTTCATACAAAACTGCCCTCACCGATTCAACGTCGACACATCTTTCGATTATTTGTGCTGTGCAACTCTTAATTTCTTATTATATTATTTGTAATTGTTGTTTTTATTGTGTTCGAATAAACGACTCTACGTTGATTGTTTTTAATTGATTGTGTCGACTATCGTTTGTTCATCATCACCACTTCCCTCATACACAATTTTTTTAAATTATTTTATTTTATTTGCTTATAAAGTAACAATTATAAATTATTTAATTTAAAGTTTTTAATAGTTGTGTTTTGTCAAGAAACGAAAAAGTGATTTGTTTATGTGTTTTAGTCACATTTGATTGGTTGTTATAAAGCTATTTCATGGTAATTTGTCGATTTCGATTGAAAAACAATAATTTTATTAATTACGAAACTAATACATTTTTGATTTTATTTCGAATTCTTAATCAAAGTTTTTTTTATAAAAATTAACGTTAGAAATAGTTATAATATAACTTAATATAGCCATCATACAGTTTTTTTTCATTAAATAGTGTAGTATATATTTTAAGGAGAATTATTAAAAACAATTATTAATTAAAAGTAGCTTAATAATATTATCTTTTATAATATCAGCTTACGACCTTAGAGGGCTTAAAAGAAAAAAAAATCTTTAACTTAACATGGGACATCCAGAGTTAAGTTTATACTAATATTTTAATTTTGTTGAAAATAATTTGATGATGTTAATAACAAGTGGTAATTGAATAAAACTTTATTAATCTTATTCTTCTAAAAACGATTTTTGATTAAATAAATTTCGAAAGAAACTTAATAATTGTATAGAATAAAAAATGAAGTTTAATTAAATTTAATTTTAAATGAGTTTTTATTATTTTTTCAAGTATTGGCTATTATTATTGAAACTTTATGTATAAGTCGAGTACAATTATACCACGACCAACGTATTTTAATTAATATTTTTGATATATAGCATTTCAATGGAAAAAACTAAATGAAGATATCATTTAATTTTTGCAATAGTCCCTAATTAATAATACTGAATAAATAATTTTTCGTATTCAACAAAAATAAGGTGATAATTTTTACACTTGTTTTATTTTCTTATCTTAAGTTATTAAATATTTTATTTCCTTGATGATAATTTTCACGCACTTGCTTCAATAAAATATGTGTACAAACAAATGTATGTTTTAGAAAAAACTCGAGCGTTTTTTATTTTTAAATATTGATGATAATTGAGAATATAAATTATTTTTATTTTAATAATATTTATTTTAATAAAATTTATAAATTCCATGCTCTAAAATTGACATAATGGTGTCAATCTATCTCATTCAACTGTACCCGATTACTGCCTTAAGCGTTTGGATACTTTTCATTTATTATTAAATTAATGCATAAGCTATATTATTTTAGTTTTTATTATTTTTATTAGACTCCACGTCATGTCGTGGGGGTCTAATAAAAATAACTATGTCATTAATCAAAAAATAAGCGATATTAATATACAATGACTATCAAGTTAAAAGAAAATTTATTGCAAAAAATAATACCCATAAACAAAATATGGGACGGGGAAATATATTACTAGTTCCATAAAAATAAATGTTAACGTTCACTAAAATAACTTGTCGTATATGTCAGTTGTTGAATAAGTAATGTCCAATCAATATTTAACTTCAAAGGTTTTAATTTACCATATTAAATAATTTAGGGAAATAATTTTCCACAATTTTATTCTATGTTAATGTTATTCATAACATGATCACTTTCAATTGTTGATATTCGTGTACATTAATTACTATAATAACTATGATGCCTAAAGATAAATAAATTTATAAAGTAATAATTAATTTATAAATTATTATTACAGTAGCTACTTATAACAAACCAAAGGCAAATCACCTTAGTGTCATCGACGTCAATTTTATATGTATTACACGATAAAAAAAGAACCGCCTCCAAATTTTTTTTTGCTCATTACTTATATTGAGGTTGGAACCACTGAATTATTTTTTTTTTAAATATTCTATTTGGAACCTTTATGAAATTTATAGAATGTTTAGTAAGTAAGAAAAAGGATTTGTATTGTTGTTTTTGTTTATAACAATTGTCTTGTTTCTTTATTTACTGAACGCTCTTTTTATTAAACGCCACTTTATTTGGTAAGATTTTTTGTAAATATAATTATTTTTATTAAATTAATTAATAAATAAAAACGATAATAATAAATAAATAAATAAATTCTTTATTTGTAACGTATTTTCACAAGTAGTTATAAATTATTGGAAGAGTACAGTGTTGAACAGTTCAATAATCCTTATCTTTTAATAATAAAACTGAATTATTAAATGTTCAAAAGTCGAATAATAAACAAAAACAACTGTTTTTACTCATACAATTAAATTTTGATTTTATAACATTGTTAATTAATAAAAAAACTTATTTTAACCTAGAAATTCACTTGGAAAATATCATACAAACTGAAATATTTATTTAACTTGTTTTTTCTTACGTAATTAAGTCAAAATAGTAAATTAGAGATGCGACAATATTTTGAAAATTTATCAATCGAAATCTGTATTATTATTATTATTACTTATTTTATTATTTTTAAATCAAAAAAATATACATGATAACGAATTTTTAAATAATATTAGCCACAAGTTGATCATTAATTTTCATTGATTAATTTTTTCATATAATATAGCCAAAATGGTTACAAAAATATATTCATTCACATTTATTTCTGTGATTCTAATTATGACTACTTAAAAATCAAGTTGCACATTTTTGTCTTTAAATGTAAATATTATTCAATTTTCAAGTAAGTTCTTGAATTTTAAAAAAATTTCAACTAAAACCAGTTTATTCAATATTGTATTTTGGTTTCATCGTATACAAATGTATTAATCACAGGTTATGTAGCGTCTTCATTTCCAAATTCACGCCATCAGTATGATCTTGTTAGAGTTAATTCTGATTGTCAATTTAACACACACACACATTTCAAAATTATTGTACACTAGAAATGCGAAGTCAGTTAAACGTTTTAGCCGAAGGAGACTAGCCATTGGTTACAGAGCATAAGGAGCAGGCTGTGTGTTCGGTCGAGGTTGTTTTAGGAGTCCCATGTATCTAGCCACATTTCGACACTTGGAGACAACTTCTTCCTGGACCAGTGAAAATGACATGGCAATCAAGACCAGTCCGAACAACAGGTATCCACAGCAAGCAATTAACTGCAGTTGACCGTTTTGCGTGTCGGTGCCTTTAAAAGATTTCCCAGGTACAAAGTCACCAAATCCTATTGTTGATAAGGTTACAAAACAAAAATAAGCGCCATCGATGAATGTCCAATCTTCCCAAGTGGCAAACACAGCGGCACCTAGACATATGTAACCGACCAAAACTAACAACACCAAAATCACCGGTACACCAGGCGGCGCGGGGGTTCTCACTGGTTTTTTAGATGGTTTGATTGTGTGTACATTCAAAATCTGCTGTGACCGCTCTTTTTGATGGTGGTTTTTAATTAATGGTATTCTAGAAGGTGTGCCGTAAGTAGTATTGCGAATTCGACTGAAAAAATCAAATCAAATTTAATCATTTTAGAGGCTATACAAATGTAAAAATTTACATAAATAACATAATATGTATACCATTCATAGCAGTCTTCATTTTCATCGTTGTAGGAGTAATCTTCTTCGGGAACTGTTGACAAATCTGAACTGTCGCCCAATTGTCTAAGAATATGTGCAGCTACATGATCGTGCGTGGGCGAATTTGCCAATTGGTATTCTGCACATTCACATAGAACGTTTTTTGCCTCAGAAGTTAAACGGTACACAGGCTTGCTTCCTAAAAAGTTTATTTTGTTTCATTTTTCTGATTATAAAAAAAACAAATGTTATCATTTTCGATAGGCAATGATTAACTCAGCGGGTTTAATATTGAATCAGATCCGTATTTTCTCAAATAGCTTTTTTTGTTGGTTTTAAACATATTTTTCTGATTATTCAAAATATCATCAAAAAATATTGTAATATTGATTTTATTTATTTAAATAAAATCATTGGCTAAATCAGTATTGATTTGGCCCGCTGGGAAAGGATTCCTAGATAAGTTTAATGACCGAGAGTAAGTGATTATACCAAACGTATTGTTTAACATAATTTATATCAAACCATAGTTCTGTTTGATAAATGTATGATAATTAAGTAATTAAAAAATTTACAATTCATACAACTATTTGTCATCCATTAATGTTCGATTTCACCTTTACTAATATCAGAGATGTAATCAGGGTATTGTTCTGAGGGAGATATACATAAGAAAGCTCTTCACTTCACCCTTCAAATAAAAAAAAATGTTTTAACCGTGTAATTATTTTATTTTGATAAAACTATGCCTTTCATCATCCTTTATTACGCTTCAAATTTATATAGGGTTCATCAACTTAAATTAATCACTAATAAAATAATAATAATTATGAATATATTGTCATACCTATAGGTTTTCGCAATTTTGATACTTCTGGATCAATTTTATGATGTCCGTTTAAAGAATGTGCGGAATGTGGGGACATTTTAACCTCAGTCATCGATTTACACTTCTTCATTGCCTTTTCTCTTCGACTTTCTAAATATGAATTTTATTAGACATTTTTACATAAACAAATACTTTAAATAATTATTAATTAAAAACATAATAAATATATTTTTCATAAAACAAATATCTGTGTTAATACAGTAAATATTTGTTTAAATTAAGAATTATTTAGATTTTTTTATAAAATAAATCGTGTTTACATCTATTAAATTATTTATTAGTAAAATTTATTAAGAATCGTGCATAATTAATAATTCAATTAATCATTAATTATTTTTTCATACTACATCGTTAGTATATCACAAAGTACTAGAAACTTTAAAAAAAAATCTAGATAATCTAATATTTTTGAATTATATGTAAAAATCTGACACGGTCTCGCGTCGCTTCGTGATAGACAGTGCTCCGCGACCCGCGCCACCTTTATCAGCTGTCGCCCTGTTGAGGGTATTTGGTAGTTTGTCTGACCAACACCGCGAGCCATATGCTACGGTGCAAAGTCCAGCAAGTGCCGCACGGCCACTGCAAATGATACGTTGAGGCTCCTTGCCGCTGTCAAAGTGACAACGTCGATAATGTACGCCATCGGCTCCGGACGTGTCGTACGACCGGACTGGACGAACCGATCTGCACCCGCGTACCGTCGCCATCAACGCTGCTAGCTTTTTGGTACACCGACGATCACGCCGGACACCGCAGCGCCAACGCCAGCGAAAGTGCCGCTCCGATATAATGCGAATACTTTAATTAATCGTGTTGGTCTTTTCGGTTCCTTTTAAACAAACTGTTGTCGCTCATCAATAGGAAACGGCCTACGGTGTCTATTATCAAGACCAGTGTCGACTACATTATTGCGACTTGAGTCGTGTCAAAAAGGTGTGAATCGCAACCAAAAATATTAACAATATTGGCGCTATCTCGTTTAAAGAGCATACAATAATTTCATTTTTTTTTAAGGAGCTAATAAAAACAAAGTAAAATATTCGATTTTCAAAAAAAAATACATAAAAGATATGACGTAAAATATAATAATAACAATGGACCAATTCAAAATGTCATCACGCTGTTTGTTATGATTCGAGTTAAAGCGAAACTATTATATTGCTTCATATTGTTTATGTATTTCATTTAAAAATGTTGCATGATAAAATTATAATGACTATTCGAGGCCATCATTTATGGAAGATTATGGTGTTTATTTATTTATTTATTTTTACCTTGATTAAACAGACCTTTTATTAAATAGAAATGTTTGTTTAAAAATAAGTATTTTTTAAATTATAGTTATTTAAATTACCTAACGCCCTCACTATTTATTACTATTTTTTCTATTATAACCTTTTATGTCACATCAAAGTCAAAAATAAAAAATTATTTTATTCGGTTTGTGATATATACTGATTGTACTAACTCTCAGTTGGTTTTATTTTATTAATATATTATAACCAAGCTAAACAAATACAACATGTATAATACTTAATCCATTTTTAATGAAATATAAACTACCAAGCTGATATATATATTTATTCAAATTTTACAACATCTAATAAAAAATTTTTTAATTATAATTTATTTAAAATATAGATAATCAAATCAACATTTATTTTCTTAGAGTAAATAGATAGTTAATCATTGTTGATGTAATAATACCTACATTTTTTACATTTTTTTTTGTCTACGATGTATTGAATTATGTTTTTTATCGAGAATAGATTTAAAAATTATTTAATAATACATATAAGTATTATATAAGTTATTGACAATAGTGTAATAAAACTTAATATTAAGTTAACAGAAACGAATTAGAAACACGAAAATAACTTTGCCTATATTACAACTCGTTAAAAAATAAATATAGAAATAGTTATTTAATGTTTTTATATTAAATTTAATTTCACCGCATTTTATAAAACTATTTCCTCGCTAATACTTTAAATAACTTTTTTTTTTCATTTAATAAAAATAAAAAATAATAATGCCATTGAACTAATGTATAAATAGAGTAAATTACAATAATACATAATAACAATTGTGCTAGTATTGATATGTTTTTTAGCTTCAATGCGAAGCTGAGAAGGTATTGGTTTTACTATGATGTGTTTTTTTTTTTGTGTCTGGTACCACTTTTTCTCAGCTCTCACTAGACAGATTTCTTTTAACGATACGTCAAAAGATCATAAATTGTATCTAGTCTCAAAAATTGAAAACATTTCCCTCGATCCCGTAAATAAGGTAAACCTCCAAAAAAATAAAAAATTTAAAGTCGCTAATTTTCGAAATTTTTTCAAATTTCTTTTCTTAAAACTGCCACAACTTTTTTAAAAACAACCATATCAATATAAATTTTTTTTATAAATCTGACCCTTCACCTGCCCACAGGGGGGGATTTAAAATGAGAACTTTTTTAACATAACCTTTAAAAGTGTTCCGGAAACTCTGATACTTATATATATATATTAAATTAAAGATTATGTAATATACTTAATTATGGAACAAAAAATTTCTTTTATTTTATTTTAAAAGACTTTATTTTGTCTTTATGGTAAAAATGGCTACCGAATGCTATTTTTGTGTGAAAATTCTCGATTATTTTTTTTACATTTTTAACTTTTTAATGCTATAACTTTTTGAAAAATGTGTGGATCAATAAAATTTTTTTTTATAGATACATGATGTCCTTACCATTTTGTATACTTTTTTTTATAAATTTGACCCTTTACCTGCCCACAGGGAGGAATTAAAAGTTACAACATTTTTACAAAAAATTAACTTTTTCAATTTAAAATTGGAAAGTATTCCCGAAAGTTTGCCAGTTTTATATATATCTTAAATTAAAGCTAATATAATGTACTTTATTATAGAAAAAAAAAATTCGGACTTTATTTTGTTTTCATGGTAAAAATGGCTACCGAATGCTATTTTCGTGTGAAAATTCTCCATTTTATATTTTACATTTTAGCTTCGATGCGAAGCGGAGAAGGTATTAATTTTACTATGATGTGTTTTTTTTTTTTTTTTTATGTCTGTTGCCACTTTTTCTCAGCTCTCACTGGACCGATTTCTTTCGAAAATACGTCAAAAGATCACAAATCGTATCTAGTTGAAGACATCACCCTTAAAAATTGAAAAAAATTCCCTTGTTCCCCGCAAATGGGGGAAATATCCAAAAAAATTACAAATTTAAAAATCGCTAATTTTCGAAATTTTTTCACTTTTTTTTCTTAAAACTTCCATAACTTTTTGAAAAATCAACAAATCAACATAATTTTTTTTTATACTAAAACTTTAGATATTTACCTATCATTTGATATCATTTTTTTGAAAATCTATCAATTAACCTGCTCATGGGGGGGATTTAAAATAGCAACTTTTTTACAAAAATTAACTTTTTCAACTTAATTTTTGAAAATGTTCCGGAAATACTGCGTCCTTTAAACATATATCAAATTAAAGCTTATTTTATGTACTACAAAATGAAAAAAAAAAATTTGTCCCGACACTTTTTCTTCTACATTTAAACGGCTGCCGTAGTTAAAAAAACACTATTTTTGTGTTAAAATTTTCGATTTTAAATTTTCAACTTAAAAATGCTATAACTTTTTGAAAAATGTATATATCAGCACAATTTTTTTTTTATAAATACATTATAAGTACAGCTTTCATTTGACATACTTTTTATTAAAATTGGACAATTTCCCCTTATATAGGGGGCGTTCAAAACTTGAAATATTGTAAAAAACATAGATCTTTTTCAACTGAACTTTTGAAAATGTTCCGGAAATACTGCGTCCTTTAAACATATATCAAATCAAAGGTTATGTTATATACTATCAAATGAAAAAAAAAAATTTGTCCCGATATTTTATCTTCTATGTGCAAATGGCTGTCGAAAATTAAAAAAAAAGTGTAATGTTTGCGATAAAAATTATCTTTAATCGGGATGTTTTTTGTACTTAAAACTACTATAACTTTTTCAAAAATGAACAAATAAAAATAATATTTTTTTGTATTGAAACCTTAGATATTTCCCTTTCATTTGATATCATTTTTTTTGAAAATCTATCACTTATTCTACTCACTGGGGGGATTTAAAATAGTAACTTTTTTACAAAAAATAACTTTTCCAACTTATTTTTTGAAAATGTTCCAGAAATACTGCGCCCTTTAAACATATATCAAATTAAAGCTTATTTTATNCCTTTAAACATATGTCAAATTAAAACTTATTTTATGTACTATAAAATAAAAAAAATAAAATTTGTCCCGACGACCTACCTTCTATGCGCAAATGGCTACCGTATTCAAAAATACGCTTTTTTAACAAATTTTTTTTTTTTTAATTAAACACTATACACAGATTTGCATCGAAGCGTTTTTTATGATAGTAATTTTAATCACTGTCAGATATCATCTATACTGGACCCAACTATGCCTCGTCCCCACTGTGCCGCCACCCCACTGTGCTGGGTTTTTAACTTTATAATTCTATAATTTATTGAAAATTGTATTTATCAATACAATTTTTTCATGAGAAATAATTTTTATATCCCTCTTTCATTCGACATACTTTATCTTAATCAAGATATAAATAAGGAAATAAGATATCATGTGGGTTTAGGAATAATCCACCAATTTTTTAAAATTAAACACTATTTAAAGATTTACATTGAAGCGTTTTTTATGATAGTGATTTTAATCACTGTCAGATATCAGTATACTTGATCCAACTATGCCACGTTACTACTGTGCCACAACCCCTCTATCCTGGGTTTTTGTTTTTGATAATATAAAAATCTGATCAAATTATTATTTAATTTTAATTTATCGAGGTGTTATCAATCCTCCCTTCCATTTAACGTTATTAATGTTATGTAATTGAATAATTCAACAAAATACTTATTATAAATTTTATGTACAGATTGTTTTTTAAATAAAAAAAAAAAATTTTGATTTGCTCAATATTCGGAAAACGAAACGCTGCCATTTTTTTAAAATTTACCCATAAAACATAATAAGGCTGTGTATTTAAGTGTTAGTTAATCACCTGCTCACATCGTAGACCATAAAATCGATGTATCATTTTTTAATTAGTGTTCATGGTGGTCAATTAAATTTCTTAATACATTTCCGTAGGAATAATAACCATTATTGTAATTACTTTTTGAGAATTTAGTACTTGAAATGAATGAAGTGAAAACATGACATTTTATTAATTAAAAAAAAGTGTAAACTCTGTGCATAAAAGCGTTACTTTGCCTACTTATAAAATTAATTGAAAACATCCTTGACAACAATCATAATAACATAAATATTGCCGACAATGTTTTAGGTAGATGGTTTTAAAGCATTAAATTTTAAACAGTGTTTTAGTTGATAGTATTACCTGATTTTCGTTTTTTAGAACAACACGTATGGGAATATGCAAACTGAAATGTGCCTGCCAACAAGGATCCCAAGTTGGATATACAAAGTAACATGAGAGGCACGCCAAACAGAGCATATACCATAGTTACAATTTTACCTTGTGGTGTTTTTGGTGCTAAATTACCATACCCTAGAAATAATTAAAGACCATGTTATATTAGAATGTTGCACAAATGTAGAATAATTTCCGTTTTTATAAGAAAAACATATATGATTTTAAAAACTTATTTTCATAAAATTTGTCGTGTTAAAAGGTCATTTATGTCACTAAGTTAATAACGTAAACAGTATATGGAAAGAGTATAAATTTAATTTTAATAATTTATGAATAATAAATTTAATTAAATATGTCATTCAGATAAAATACTAAAAATTACTTTCACAATTATTTGAGCATAGTAACATTTGTTATTTCACAAAATTTGAGAGATATGGTAGAAAATCAAACATAGTATGTTTTACACAGCATAATATATTATGAAATTTTTTTTTTATAATTTTCACAATAAAATTAATCAAAATGATAGTTGAGATAAGCGTTAAGGAATAACCAAATATATTGATTTTATTTCTAATATTTTTTAACTTCACATTGCACCTTATAAACATCTGGTTTCACCAACTACAAAACTGAAAACATTAAAATTTTACATGAACATTAGTTTAAAAGTTTGTATCAGTCTTTAAATTCGTTTAAATAATGCATTTATATTTCTTTATTCTATGTAATTCAAAAAAATGATCCGCCTAAAGTTGAGAACTTGAAAGAAGTTTTTGTAAATTCACCTATATTAAAGCTTGGCAGTATAAGTAGTTTATAAAATTTAGTATTGTAGGCTTAAGTTGTCAACTTATAATTTTATACTTCTATTCTTCCACACTTCATATATCATGTTATATTATTATGAAAGTTTAGAAGTGTTAAATCTACTAACTCGAAAAGTGTATAAATCGAGACAAGTACATAGAAGCCTGTTGGAAATACATTATAATAAAGCAAATTATATATTACACACAAAAATAAAAATAGTTCCTTTTAATATTGAACTTCCTTTGCGTAATTAAAGTACTCATTTATTCTAAAATCCGTTCAAATTATTCATCAAACACATATTTGTTTGGTTCTCACCTTAACTCTAAACTTAACTCTAAAACTCTTAATTGTATTGTACCAACCAATTTTAACTTACACTTAAAGTTATTAAAAATGTGATTAGAAATCAAGTTGTATTCATATACAACTATATATAGATCTATTAGATCTATTTAATTTATTAGCTACCTTTGTATATTTTTGTCCATATACCTTTGGGTATCTTTATAAACATTATTTTTTTCTTGTAAATAACTTAAGTATTGATTTTTTAAGTATTACTTTTGTATAAAGCTAAGAAGGTACTTCCAACATATAATTAAAATATTTTATCTTATTTGAAAGCTATTTATTATATGGTATTAAAATTGTATTATAAAAAGATTTTTTTTTTATCAAATTAATACTAAATTTCTAGTATAGTACTATAACTGTAGTGTTAATTTTTATTCTATAGTTGTGCTTACCAATAGTTGTTATTACAGTAACAGAATATAACAATGCACCAGTTAGTGACCACTGTTCAGTATTTTTGTCATAGCCCTGTATATTTGTTGTAGACATTATTTGCGTTTCAAATTTATGAAGTGGTTCATAAACCATCTTTGTCCAATTTAGCTCATGAAGAACATGCATTGTAACTGAAAATATAAACAGTTCAAATAGTTAACTTGATAAATAACGATAAAATTTAATTGATTAAGTATAGCAAATAAAAATTTATTAAAAAATAGAATTATACTAATAAATATATATATTTATATATGTATATAATCCGATCCATAGCCATCGTGTCTGCTATTTAGGACACAAAATACCATGGAAGTTTGTCGTCCTAATAATATTTTATTGTTTTAGTCCACAATTTTTCAATATATGAGGATACTACCAAAATGAAAAACCTAAATAAAAGCCACTTTATAATTTAATGATGTTCATTATATATTAAACTACCACACTTTAATTGATTAACATATATTGTTTATTATATTAATTTAAAATTATCTGTAATTATATTATGTTATTTTTATGGTGCTACAAATAAATGACTTTTTTTGATGTGCTGTTAAAGCAAAGTTCCTAATCAAATTAATAAAAAGTTATTTTCAGTAGCTCATGTATGATAATTAATTTAACTATGTGGGTCTACATAATTGTGTGTAGATCATCGTATCTTACAAATTTGTAATGTGTAAAAACAGGGTATATTTATAATATATATTTATATTATATGTTTCAATTTAAATTTGTACTTGTAATTTTTAAAATGATTTGTTAAAATTTTAGTTTAAGTAAATTTAAGTTTAGAAATATCAAAATACTTTAACTTCAACATTCATTTACAGCTTAAGAAGAAATCAGCTACCTATTTTTGATTACTATAATAAATAAGTACATAAAAACAGTTAACAGATTTTACGGTTCATTTTGAAGTTATGTAATATAGATAAAGTCAAATTAAAGATGTGATTAAATTTGGTTTAATTACTTGTTGTGACTTAAGGAATAAAACAAATTATTTTAAATATTCTCATTAATTATTAAGTTACCTTAGACAAAAAAAAAAGTTATATACATAATTTATGTACGTTTATGTTAACTAAATTCAATAAATATTGTTTTTAATCTAAACAAAATTTTATTTGTAAGTAATTTAAATAATTTTTCAATGAAATATAAATGATAAAATGTTTAAAATGAAATTTTTGTGTTATATACTAAATAAAATAAAATTTTACATTGAACTGCACTTTTATGAGCAATCATTATTTTCCACATATTAATTGCAACATAAATTATTTATTGTATAAGAAAAAGGGATATAACTAATGATTGTACAATGAGTTTGATTATTCATATGTAATAGAAAAAACGTAAAAATTAAGCTAATTTAGTTTGCATTTATTTTAAAATAAGTTAAAATACCTATGGACCAAAAATTAACAAGGAAAAGAATATAAGATAAGGACAAACCAGGAGATTTAATACCTATACGGAGAAGTTGACATCAACAGAGTCCTAAAAATTAGTAGATTAAGCTGAATCAGACACGTGTGTAGATTGGAGGAATCATAGTGCAGATTACAAGATGGATAACAAACACAAAAAACCTAGAAGACGTTCTAGACAACAATGGAAGGATAGAGTGGCCAAAGACTTAAAAAAACTTGGAATGGAGAATGACGAAGAAATGGCAAGATACAGAGACCGAAGGAGACTAGTGGTTGTTGCGGCAATGGGCCTAAAGGTCCTGTAAAATGCCTCGAAGAAAGAAAGTAATCTTAAGTAGAAGTATAAAATTTATTTTACAACATGGTATTTACCATGCTAAGTTTGATATTATGATTCTTCATACTATAATTATTAAATTAAAGTAATTTTGAATTTTTTATTTCAGTTTTATTCAAATTTTAAACAGTTTGTTTCTATTAGTTGATTGATTATACTTAAAATTGTTTTATATTTGTCTTCACTACATCAAGTTTCTACAAAATCATAGCATTCCACTTTTCTTATTACTTAGAACAATTCTATGACTACATATTATTTACGCGTTTTCCGTACACGAAACTACCATTAACTTTCTGAAAGCTCGAGCAGGAAATTAAAACTAATGAAATCCAAAGTCGACATTAGCAACCGTAATTGTGTTCAATTTTGGGCGTGGTACGTCATAAAAAATAGTGTAGGATCCCTATTACATGTCATCCTTTCCTTTAGGTTTTCATTGATCATAGTATCGTTATTCATAAATTTCGATGAAAAAAAATTCATAATTATGTTGTATCGTCATGGAATAAAAAATATTTATTGTATAATAATTTTATTATTAATTCTAGTACTATTTTATTGAACTCTAATTAATTAGCTTGTAATCAATGAATAATGCCTTCTAAATATTTTTTCCCAGATATTCTTTACAGTAAATTTAATTAATACTCATCATATTTATTAAAAAATAAATTAATGTATACAAAATTTTAAAAGTATTACCTTATTTTAAAACCGAATAATTTAGTTGTAAAATTTATTTTGAATAATTTATTATGGTAAATTAAATTATTATTAATAAAATTAAAATAAACGAAAAATTTATAAATTTATTTATAAAAAGAATTTAGAATGAAAGTTTTACAACTTCCAAGTGTTATATAAACATCATGTTCATTTAAACTTTAAACGACACGTGTATCAGCTTAAACTGTTAAGTTTAATAACAAAAATATAAAGACTTATCTTTTGAATTACAATTCTTTGTACCTTTAGTTGAATCTTATTATTACTGTTTTATAAAAATTACATAATATAATACCGCCAAAATTATTTTGTTAAATTTTTTATATATAATATATTGATAATGTTTTAAAAACAATAACCATAATAAATACAAAACTTTTTATTACGCATTATTGTATTACAATTTTTAAAGTTTCTTCATTTTTAATGAGAAAAATGTGTTAAATATTCATATCATATTAAAATTTATTATCTAATTATAATATGTTAACACACTTTAAAGAAATGTATCACTAGACAATCTTTGAATAGCTGTTAATTGCAACAGCTAATTAAACGGTTAACTGTTGATACTTAATATTTATTGAATGCTACATTTGTACATTTTTTTTGAGTTATTATATAATGCAATTACGTACTAACGTAATATTAAAAATACATAATTGATTTAACTATACTATTCTTTAAAAATTAAGATAATTGAACCATGTTCTGTGTAATTAACTTTACATTTACATTGAATAAAGACAAAATTATGGTACACTATATCAGATATAATATTAAAAATGTAACATTCGCTTATGTTCTAAAATAACAAATACAAACAGATAAAAATGATAATTTTATTGAAATTTTATTAGCTCTTATTAATATAACAAAATCCTTAACCAGCCATAGAAATGCTAGAATCTTAAGAAGCCATACAAATGCTCGAATATTAAGAAGCCATAAAAAGCATAAATTTTAAGAAGCGATATAATTTATAAAGTTTAGAAAGCCATAGAAAAGCATGAATTTTAAAAAGCCATAGAAATGCTCAAATTTAAAGAAGCCATATAATTTACGAAGTTTAAGAAGCCGTAAAAATGCTGGAATATTAAGAAACCATAGAAATACACGAATTTTTTGAAGCCATAAAAATGGTCGAATATTAAGAAGCCATAGAAAAGCTCGAATTTTAAGAACCCATAGAAAAGCACAGATTTTATATAATTTATATAAACCATAAGATTATTCGCAAAATAAATACAATATTGTAAAAAAAAAATAGATTTTTTTAGATACATATATTTCTTAATTTATAAACTAATAACTTATTTTTAGAATGAATATAAATTAAAGGGGTATGAACTTTATTTTTTTTAATAGCAACATACATATTTAACTAACTTATAAAACAGGAAATAATGTAATTTCTAGTGGATAATAACTTTTGAAACAGTAATTTAGAAGTTATTATTAACAATTTAAAGTAATGTCTTAAGTTAAGATTATTTTTTATTTTATTAGCTAGACAAATATGTATGTTGTTATTTAAAAAAATTAAGTTGATACTCCTTTAAGTCATAAGAGATGGTTTTAGGATGTATTAGTTAACTGTTAAATAAGTATATAAGATATATAAGTTTTAATATAAACTGTAACTTACGCCATAACATTTCATTTTTTTACTTAAAATGTCTTTGTAACTCAATTTTTAGTCTATAATTTGTATTACATTTAACAATTATAACTCACAAATTATTAGTAAAATTTTCGTTAAATTTAATTTTAGTGTATAATGGAAAATCAAAAACCAAATCTTATCATCTAACGACAAAAAAAAAACATTATTAACAAAAGCTTCTATTAAAAGGTTCTATTTTAACTAATTTTTTTAAATTTTCATAGTGTGGCCAAAAAACTAATATCCATTAGTCAAAATTTTTATTCAAAGCCATTAATACAGATGTAATTGAAAACTGACAGTCTCATAACACTTACATAAAAAATCGTTTCACAAATAAAACTTCTCTATCAGAAGTGAATTAAGTTAAAAAAGAAAAATACTTATCAAAATAGAAAAAATTAAATTTCTGAAGTCATTAGATACTGTCTTTGATATTTCAATCGCTAGTTCTTCAGAGATCAATTAAATAAAGAAAGTAAATTATTTATTTCTAAACCAGTATTTAGTACTAAAACTTCAGGATATAAAAAATTCTCGTTAGAACTACCTGATCGACTCGAGATATAAAAAATAATAATTTTGAAAAAGTTGAACTGAGAATACTGAAATAATTATATAAATTAATCAAATTCGATTCATATAAATGAATTATTTGAAAAAAAAAATAATTGAAAAGTATTTGATGAACAACCATTATTTATAAATATTTTCAAGAATATCATATATCTTAGCTTACACTTTATTTAAAAAAAAAAGCTTAAGTTCTTAAGATAAGTGAATAATTTTTTTCTACTTATAATATACATAAATATCAGCTAAACTGCATAAAAAAAAATTTTGAAAAATTTTATGCTTACTTGAGACCTACTAGAAATATACCATATAATGGCATTAATTATGAATTTAATTATTAGCATTTATTCTATACCTTATCGAAACATATGCAGTCTATCA